CACTGGCAGACTGAGCGAGCTCATCGCTCTAGCGGAGGTGGGCTTATAGGTGGAGGAGGTTGACGATGCGTTCTTCACTCAGGCCGCAGTGGCCGCAGATGAAGCGGAGGCCGCTTACTAAAGGGACAGGCAGGTCAGAGCAATGCATGTGAGCCTAGCCACAGCAATAGGGTTGTGGTTGAGGATTGGTACTCGGATGATGAGTTGCTTACTCAGTATGTTTCTGACTAAGGGTTTTTTATTGCGCCGTCTGTTAGTTCCATGCTTTATTAATGATCAATGTAGCCATGTAGTAGAAATTCTATTGTGTTGTCTTATATTCCATTTGAACTACTGATGTATTGTACCCATGTATCATGTACTCGGATTACCCATGATCGATCTTAAGTGATCACATCTGTTTGTATCATGCGTTAAAAAATTCTAAAACAAACGTAATCATTTGTCGTGCCATAGCCCACGGCGCATCTGTGCTGTACAAAACTACAGAACTACAAGCGGAGGTGGGCTTACCGGCGGAGGTGTTGTACAAAACTACAAGTGTTGTACAAAACGAACATGAAGCAAATAAATGGACGATAAGTTGCCATACAACATTTTCATTGGTTTATGAGTCTACAAGTTTTCGACGACAATATTCCTTCGACATAAGTTCGACGTAATGAACTAAGTCCCACGACGTAATGAACCTCGTCGTCTGGTACAAGAAGGGGGTCGCCGTACTCCACATCAAGAAGGGGGATCAGCTGGTGCGGCGTGGGAGGGGCTATCCTGTTACAAAATGATAAACAAAGGGTTGAAGTATTAAAATTAACAATTTTTAGATTAACATTATGTAGCATTGCAAAATTTGAACTACTTGTTATGCAATTCGAACACAATATAAAATCACCTGCTGTCTTCTATGCCGGCTAGCCTTGTGGTCAGATTGTTTGCAAATGGAGCAAAGATTCCTGCCACGGGTCTCGTTGAAGTCTCCCCCATCGTACATGTCTTCGCCATACCCTCTCATAGCATCCATGTCACCCCTTAGTCACTTCTTCTTCCTCCTACCCTTCCCTACCTTCATTAGATCCGGATGCGACACGTAGTCATAACCATTATAAGGTGGCCACTGTGTTGGGTCAAGGTATGACTCGAAGCTCATCTCCCAAATACTAACGGTGTTCGAACAGAGATACAAGGGTGACATATATGGTAGATCCTCATAGTTGAACCCGTGAACCCTGCAGGCCGTGATCATATGAGAGCAAGGGGCATGCATGATCTGAGGGACGTTGCAACTGCACTCTACCTTTTCAAGATCAACTCGGTAGTTTCATCCACCATAACGTTTGCCGCCCAGGCTTGTGCCACCCTTGCCCCATACACTAAAGATATGGTGGCGGGGTCCATATGGCTCGGCGGTGTGCTGCTTGGCCAATTCCTCGGCCTCCTTCAAATGTTTAGCTCCGGCCTTTCCAAAACGCCCCTACTCAGCTATATTCCTCTGCGCAAGCTCCCACCTCTTCACAAAATATTCGTTGCACTTATGAAATAAGAACTCAACAATTCCAGACACAGCCAATGATCGAACTCCGGTGAATACACGGTTGAAGGACTCCAAGGAGTTAGTGGTCATGATGCCATACCTGAAACCCCCTCATCATATGCTAACGCCCACTGAGCCTTCTGTTCCATCTGGGCCTCTAACCAGGCCTTTCCTGCTGCATTTACCATCTTGTCTAGTTCTCTCTTTATCTCCTTGAACTGGTGCTCTATACGTACACAACATAGAGCCTTTACCTTGTCACATACCTCCTGCTTCCGTTGACGTCGCCAGAAATTAGCGGCAAAGTGTCTCATGCACCATCTATGTACTAGAGGCGGGAACCCATCTATATGCTCAGCTGCAGCATTAAGAAGCCCTACATGACGGTCGGAGATCAAACATATAGTGCGAGTTGGGCCAAGCACTTGCACACGTAGAAGCCGCATGAACCATGACCACGATTTATTGTTCTCTCCCTCTGCCAAAGCAAATGCCATGGGTACTATCTGGTCCTCAGGATCAACAACAACAGCCATCATCAAGGTGCCCCTGTACTTTCCTGTCAGGAAAGTGCCATCAACAAGTACGACTGGCCGACAAAAATGGAATGCATGTTCTGTTTGCGTAAACGACCAGAACACACGATAGAGGACATGCCTCAATGGGTCCCAAAAAAACATCCCTCCGGTGTCCACAAACCATTTCAAGTCAAGGTTGTAATAATGCATTGCACATAAGATGCGGGGCACCCTGTTGTACGCTTCTACCCAAGTACCCCATCGAATCGCCAGAGCAATTTGCTTAGCACGCCAAGCCTTTTCGTACGTCACGTCATACCTAACGAATCCAGATATGGACTGTTGTAAAGAAGACATCGAGATGTCGTTGTTGTCATCAATGAGCCCCAATATACGACGGGCAAGGTAACGTGCTCATGATTTTTCTTCCCCCTATTGTCTAGGCAAGTGTGGGGTTCAACAACTTTAGTTATCCTTCACTTGCCATCACTCTGTCTCCTATGTGCATTTAATCTCCACAGACAATCGTTTTTGCATATCAAGTGATACCTCAACTCCTGGTCCGAATGAGTGACGGTGTATGGCCTATGGTGGTACACAACATAGTCCTAAAGGAAGAGTTTCATCTTTGATATTGTGTTAAATATCATCCCCTTCCTAAGGTTTTCTGTCTCATGGTTATACAATGAATTCCTACACATCTGGAGACCGGTATCACAAACTGCCATATACGTCATGCTGACATCCCTATAGTTTGGAACGCCCCTGAAAGATACGTTCTGGGACCTTAGTTGCTCAAGCTCAGTCGCTGTGTAAGGTGGTGGTGGAACATACTGCTGCACTTCGCTAATTCTAGCTCATGAATCATAGGGGATATCATCTGCAGCCAAATCTATGACTAGTCTACCCTAAGCATGGACACCTTGCAAAACCTCAGTTGGTACTGGTAATGACATAGTATGTACCGGTACTGGCATGACATCAGCCGTTATTGCCATACCATCTGTACCTCCTTGGTCATCATCAGAATCGTCTGAATCACTGCTAACTACATCACCGATCCTGTCCTCCTCCTGGTCCTTCTCTTTCCGTTCGAACTCATTCACATCGAAGTCATTGCTTATACAGCCTACTGCAGTTGAATGAAACTGCTCCTACGTCAACTGACCGTCCAAATCCATATTATCCTGATATGCGTCCCCTTCGACCCCTAATTCTTTTTCATTGCCTCCAAAACCATCACTGGACGGGTTGTCCTGAACACCATGCATCATGTACCCATTCTCCACCACCACCTCAGCCATGGGCACATTGAAATCTTGGAGAACCCTAGTATAGGGGAACCAGTGAGCAGGATCGCGCAAGGGCATAAAGACATAGTGTGCCCTAGTCTTCCCATTATCAAACGTCCCCTTTAATGTGAAATCACCGCCAAACTTTATATTTAAACGGACACAAAGGTCATTGAAGTTAGGAGGTTCATCAAACCATTCCAATTCTTCTTTCATATCCTCAAACATACCATCATCTCTCCTAACACTTCCTCCGTACAAAACTCTAACACAACAATCCATCTGCAGAAGCATTTCAAGAAACTTTATTAAGTCATCGAAATCATCGTACATAATGTTCATACTAACATTAATATATTTTCTAACTATAACTATACTAACTAATCAAATATTAACATCTATACAAAACATACTATAACTGTACTCTACCTAACTTTACTACCTATACTAACTTATTATATTACGTATACTAACTTAACTAACTAACTTTACTAACTATACTAATTATACTTTAATAATTTTACTAACTTTATTAACTGTGCTAACTATATTAGTGGAGTACCTCGTTGCACCGTGCAAGACCGGGCCGGGAGACGCGGGCGCAGGGCAGCCGCCGTGCGTGACCGGAGGGGGAGGCGCGCCGGCGTGCGGGCGTGGCGGCCGCACCCGGCGGCCGGCGGCCTGGTTGGCGCGGGCTGGCTGGCTGGCGTGGGCTCACGCAGCGCGGCAGACGGCGTGCACGGCGGCAGGCGAAGGCAGGCGGACAGGCGCGGGCGAAGGCAGGCGTGGGCGGTAGGCCGCTTTGCTGCTCGACCAGCGGGACTGGCCACGGCGGAGGTTATACCCGGTTCTGACGCGCCATGGATCAGGGCGCGGCACTGCCGCGCCAAGATCGGTGGTGCGGCCCTGCCACGTCAGCGGCCAGCGTTTCTGCTCGTCGCCACGTCAGCCCTCTGCCGCGCCACCATGCATGGCGCGGTACAGGCATTTGGCCACGACATGGCAATAGGCGCGGTCAAAAGTGTTAGTTTAAAAAAAACAAGAATGTTAGATTTAAAATTAAGTTCGAAAAAGTGTTAAAATTTAAAAAAATGCCGACTCTGATAGCCGGGCCTGCAGCTCCCAGCGGAGGCACCTACGGAGGCACCGCCGGCAGCGTCGTCTCCGCGGGTGCGGCCACCGCGTCCTCTACGTCGCGCACGCGCTCTCCTGCAGCCAGCGCGGCCGCGCCATCGTCCGCCTAGGGAACGTTAATCTAGACGCCATGTTCCCGCCCAGCGGCCGTCAGTTCCCGAAGCGGCGGCGGCGGCAGTATGGGAGGATCGCCCTCGTGCTCGACGAGGCGGTCGCAGCGGTGCCGAGCTCGGATGTACTCCGGTCGTACGACGGACACTATCCGGATGACGAGACTCACGTCGTCGGTGTCGTCAGGGTATGCTTCTCTGTCCTGCGCTCGTAGTCAAATAGGACTCGGTTACGAGTATCATATTACCCAAAACAAACGAAAAAGGACTCTGATCCCAGTACGAAAGTCCTGTCCAGTTTATATATAAACGCAACATGTCTTGATCACTTTATTAATTTTGATCCGGTCTAGTTCCCCAACAGTTGAGTTGTGCCTTTATGACTCGACAGGCGGAGAAGAGCAACAGAATTGCAATGGAGAAGCCACCACAACACGAAACGACGACGGCAGCAGACAAGGAGGAGGACCATATCAGCAAGCTGCCGGACGACATTCTGGTCCAGATCCTGTCCTTGTGCCCCTACAGGACTCTCATGAGAACGGTGTCGGTTTCAACAAGGTGGGAGCGCCTCCTCTCCCAACTCCCGGACCTGACCTTCTGCCTGTCGTTGCCTGTGGACACGACGTCCAAGGCCACGCCGAGCGAGGAGCGCGTCCAGAGCATGGCGCGGACGCTTCGGCGCCGGTGCGCAGACCACCACACTATCAAGACGCTTCGTCTGGTTTACAGGAAGGACGTGGCCATGGAATGCCGGTACGCAGACGACATGATCGCGCTCGCCAACGCCACAAGGCTGGTTCTCACCCCCCACGTGGGCAAGGACAAGGAGTTCTTACCTGACGCGGACGCCGGCGCCTGGTCCCTCCAGCTGCCACCCACTACGGTCGAGCTGCAGGTGCTGCCGTTCTCGTACGCCGTGAGGCCGCCGCGCATCCACGGCGCCGACGTCAGCGTCCTTCGGTCCCTGACGTTGCTGGGGCCCACGGTGGTGCGCGAGGACTTCCCGCTCGCCGCCACCGTGTTCCCGTTGCTGGAGGACCTGCACATCGGAGAGTGCACGCTCGCTGTCAGTATGAGCATCTCGTCGGACACCATGCCTCGCCTCAAACACCTCCGCTTCACCGACGTCAGCGTGAGGACGGATGACACCAAAGCCGCCATCACCGTGCTCGCCGATGACCTGAGGACTCTCCGCATGTCATGCCCTTGGTACAGCAAGACTGAATCGCTATCGGAGCCGCTGATGTTCTTGTGTCACTATGGCGCCACAGCCGTGTTCACCAAATACTCGTTGTTCCGCTTACGCGCACCCAAGCTGGCGGTGTTCGAGTGGCGATGCTGCTATGCTGACGAGGTGCGCATTGAGGCCGTGGGCCGCCTCTCCGACGTCGCCATCGAGGTTGCCGCCGGTAGGACGCAGACGCCGACTCCGATTGGCACGGAACCCAAGTACGTGACAATACAACAACGTGACAAACTTGTGACCGATATCCTTGAAGGGCTTATGCCTGGGCTGCAGCCGCGCACTTGGAAAGATGTAAGAAGGTATGTATATACTTGACATGACTTTAATTTCATACTGTTAATCTCTGACACAAGTAGATAGGTCGTAAGTTTGTTTGACTTTCATGGATATATCTACATATATAAATTCTAAGCCTTGTTTTGAAAGTGATTGATGATGGTCCAAGTTTAAATTGTTTTGCTGAATGTTAGTAAAAGGGCCGAGCATCTATGAGCCAAGCTATTCTTTATCTTATACTATTACTAATTATTAGAGACCCCAAAGAACACTCCTGGCTAATGTTCATGAAAACTTGCCAGGAAAAAAAAGATCAATTCTAAAAATCCTTATAATAATAATAAACATTTAGTTTTAAATTTGGCACATCCTATTAATATCATAGTCTATAATAGCCATTGGCTCTATTGCGTTTTTTATTTATACAAAAAAATGTCTACCTCCACCATTGTAAAAAATGCATAATGTAGACTCCTAAATCTATATCTAATATCTAAATTGCCCACACCTGCTACTATGAAAATAATTTTAAAAAATAGCTCTGTAAATTTCTATCTAAATTGCATACTTCTGCCATGATGAAAGATAATTTAAAATACTCCAAGTTTGTAAATAAATTTTCAATCTCTGTCGTTATATAAAATAATGTAAAGTAACACTTGAATTTATATCTAAATTATTTCCATATGCTATTATTAAAGATAATGTAGAGTAATACATTTTGTTTGTATCTAAATTATCTACCTATACGTTGAAGTAATTTTTTTAGTTCTAGGTATTAAATGTTAATGTCTAATGCTTATATCTCGTACTAAGATTTTAGCACGGGTTGATGGGCTAGTGAATAATCCCTACATTCCCTTTTATAAGGCAGATTGACATGGCACCATCTCCCAATCACACTTTAACCATTTATTTATTTTATATTACATTATTTATATACTTACAAAGTTATGATAATTGGATAGTAGTATATTTAATTATAAATCTACCGCATCGAATTTGTATTAAAAAATTATTAGTCAACTTATTGGTCAAAGGATTTAAAGTTTGAATCTTGCCTTTCAAAAATGAATAGTTTGAATCTGGATATATGTGTGCGTCTTTGAAAAGAGGAACGGAGGGAGTACTCATTAACAGACGTATTTCAAAGAAGCAACTTATATGTGTTTGAGCAATGTTTTGAACAAGTCTAACAAGAACAATGATTAAATAATTTTCCTTCCATTTTACAGGAAATGCATGCAACGTGATGACAGGTGGTTGTGCTTTGAAGACACAACAAGTGCTTACCCTGCTACCGAATGAATTAAAGCATGGAAGTATATGGAACCAGCTCTTCGCGTAGCAGGCGGGATAGATACTCATGAGGAATCAGACATGCCCGGATGCCCGTATGACTCTGTTCACCTAGGTTTTAACACACATTCGTGGTGTGTGTGTGTCTCATATCGCAATTCAAACAAGGAATGAGCTCGAAGTGCATTTTTTTTTCCTCTTTTTAAACGGACGAGCAAGAGTTTTGCCTACTCTTGATGCTATATATCATATTATTATTTTATTAGAGTCTAAAATATGTTGGATTCGACATAATGACTTAACCAAGTGGTTTTGCCCCGTAGCCACATCCTCTAGTTCGGCTGCTGCAGCTTGATGACTGGGTGGAGGCCTGGACATCGGTACGGATTGCGCTCCTTCAATTTTTTCCATAGCTATGGGGACAACGTCTTGTGTATCCACCTAAATTATCTGGCCACCTACTACTCGGATGAACTTCAGAATTTGATTTTTGAAAACTTGAAATGAGCTTTTGTTTTGTTTAAGCATCATTTAATTAACAATCAGAAATATTTTATGTGTCAAATAAACTATGAGTCTATAATAATTAACAATGTTTCAGCAAAGGTTAAATAAGTGGACAAACTTTGTGCATATGACCCCAAGACATGAAAATGGGATGTCAATATTCTATTAAATTGTAGATTCTTTATATCACCGGGGCTGAGAAAGACGATTAGAGGGGGAGGTGAATGAGAGTCAATCAAATTTCTTCTAAAATGACCGTTGTCCAAAACAACCCTCCAAAAACACCAAGTCACACGGGTGAGACGTCCTAGAGCCAACTAGTGACTTATGCCCTCCGGTAAACCTAGAGAACACAACGGAACACTCACAATAGCGCGAAACTAAAAGCTTGACCGAAACACACCGGAAAGCAAAAGCGATGCTCTCAACTCCAAACAAATGGAGCAAGAGCTCACGTCCAAATCACCCGACTCAATGAATTGATGATTTGGAAAACTTCCTAGGCACTTCAGAAAACCACGGAAGAAACGGATCACGAAACGAAGAACCTGAGTCGAGAACACATAAAAGTGCAACCTGCACTACATAATTAACTACTCCATCTGTCCCCATTTATCTGTTGTTTGGACGTCCTCCTAGATACACAAATGAATTTCTGAATTAGGACACATGTAACATCCAGATACGTAAAAGGTGCTCTGAACCTGGACAGCTAGTACCATAGCCAAAACGACTAATAAATAGGGACGGAGGTAGTACTACACAATGAATATAATTAAATTCATAAACATATATATCATGGATCTACTTTTGTATGACATTTTAAAAGAGACCACTGATTTTAGATTAATGGGCTAGTAGATCTCAACAAAAGGAAGAATGTTGGTGCAAACAAAATTGGAAATAGACTATATACTTAAGAAAGTTATATGACATTTTGAAAAAGAACACTGATTTTAGATTAATGGGCTCGGGTTACGAGAAAAAAAAGAACAAGCCCACGTGCGATGCCATGCATCTAGGATTGTAGGCCGCCAGCTCTCACGCAACTCACGCAGGCGGCCTCTGTCGCGCGCTCAGACGCTGGCGCGACGTATCGCGTAATAGAAGTTACTGTACGCTCTGGGTGTCCAGCGGCTTCTCCTCCAGGGCCGAAGCATGCTGAGTTGCTTCGTTGGTGTGGGCCAACGAGGCAACGACGTCGTCCAGCAGCAGCAGGCAAGTCAAGAGAATCCAGCACTCCTGACTATGACCCAGCACACCCCTATGATTGTGAGCAATCAATCCCGCAGCCATTTTTTTTTTAAACGAAATCAATCCCGCAGTCATGATCCATGGACATCTTTAGTTCACTTGTCCATTGCTACTTGATCCAAGCACTCTCTGAAGCCTGCAATAACACGGCTGTCAGAACACTAAGGCTGCATCAAATATATTCAAGTGTATCTGTTTTTTGAGATAAAGAGTTCCAGCAAGTGCTCTACCTGTCCGTTGGGTGCATAATTGTTCAGTTCCCCCCCTCACCCCAAGTCCCCACCCCCACCCCCCACTTGGCTGATATTGTGCAGGGAAATTGTGACGTAGCAGTAGCACTAGTAGCAATACCTGAGAAATCTAGCAAAAAAAGCATGACCTTAGAAGTGCTTCAGCACAGGGGCCAAACCTTTAGTGAGAACACGGGGTGTATGGCAGCATCAGTCAGAGAAGAATGAAATATCACAGGCTGAATCTGGGTAAAGGACCATGCGATTATTGCAACTTTGCAAGCCATTCTCTGAAGTACTCGAGCATAGAACAAGAAGCAGTAGTAATAGCAGTGGCACTGATGACAACTAAATACTAGAACGCAATAGCAGATGAGCTGGGTTTAATCTAACAAAAATAAAAATGAATATAGGACTGCCAATTCTCTTAAGTACTAAACACAGGAATAAAGAAAAAAAAAGAAGTCATCTGATCAAATTGTAAAACATTCCCTACTACATGACTGCTAGAAAAAGAAGTACTTGGTTGGATCAGATAAAACAGTTATATCACTGACTACAGCCTGAAGATGAGCAACATTAGTTTCTCTCATTACAGTCACTAGACAGTTCATTCTACAGCTAAAAGTAGCCTACATCAATAGCAAGAACAACTCTCACCGATCTTTCAATTGAACAAGAATTCCAACACGGTAGTAGCACCAGTAAGGCAGAAACAATACCCGAGAAATCAGGCCAGACTGGTGTTAGCTAATCTACTGTTACCTTGTGTGAACACAGCAAGGAAAGACGGCGCCGAACGACCCCCTACTGTGATACTGTAGCCGTTGCAGGTGCAGGCACCGCACGGCTCACCTGCAGCACTGTAGCCATGCAGTGGCCGGCGCAGAGTTAGCCCTAACAGTGTTATCTAGTTACTGTTACAGCATGTGGGCTGTACTAGGACTAGATAGATAGAGTTGTATAAATAGACATACACGGCAACTCAATAATTAGAGTTCAGATTTGTCATCTCACAGACAGGGCTTCGGCCAACGTTGGTGTCTTGTATTATGCGTGCTTGCTCTGTTCTCCCTTCTTCCTCTAGCTCCAGTCATAGCGTGTGGGGACGGACAACACTTACTCGTGGTTGGCACGACTAGTGGGTGCTCGGCAAGATCGGCGGAGTGGTTTAATCGTCTGAGCCGGTGATCTTGTGGGCCAACAAGTGGTATCAGAGCCGTACAAGCGTCGTCACCAGACTAACCGCTGGCGATGACGGGCAATTCTGAGTTGGGCGACAGCAGTGGCACTGTTGTGGCTGTCCAGCCACAAAAGGATGTCGTTGTTCGCACGGTGCGGGAGGTCAGCGGGACCAGTTGGCCGACGCTGACTCGCACCAACTATGGAGAGTGGTCGGTGACCATGAAGGTCAAGCTCAGAGCCCGACGGCTCTAGAATGCTGTTGACAAAGGCACCGACAATGAGAAAGTTGACATGTCAGCACTGGAGGCTATCCTCGCTGCTGTACCGGCGGAGTACAGGGAGCCGTTGGGGACGAAGAACTCGACTAAGGAGGCATAGGAGGCTATTGCGGCGATGCGCGTCGGTTCCGACCGCGCAAAGAAGGCGACGGCCCAGCTTCTGAAGCAGGAGTACGCCCTCCTCAAGTTCAAGGATGGTGAAACGGTAGAGGACTTCTCCCTCCGCCTGCAGACGCTCATTAGCAAGCTGAAGAGCCACGACGCCACCATCGACGAAGAGGAGGCGGTCTCCAAGTACCTCCACTCCGTGCCGGCAAAATACATCCAGATCGCTCTTTCCATAGAGACGATGCTGGACTTGTCCACCCTCACCATTGAGGATGTGATAGGCCATCTGCGGGCGGTGGATGAACGCCTGGAGCAGGCGACAGCAACGAAGGACAGTGGGAAACTCCTGTTGACGGAAGAGGAGTGGGCTGCTCGGAGGAACTCTGGGAAGGCAGCCTCCTCCAGTCGTGGTGGCAAGGGCAAGCACCGTAGCAGGGCTTCTTCGGAGAAGAAGCAAGTCGACCCCAATGCCTGTCGGTGTTGCGGGAAGATGGGTCATTGCGCACGGGAGTGCCCAAATGGCAAGCAGGAGAAGAAGGCTTAGGTTCACCTGGCGCAAGCCGATGATGAGGATGAAGCCACTATCCTAATGGCGACGTTCTGTGCACTGCACGACGTCGAGGCCGAGGAGAGGGAAGAGGCGACGACGATGGAAGGACCTAGGAAGGCCCTGAAGACCGTCAACCTCGATGAACCACGAGCCCAAGTTCACCTCGGGCATGTGGGCGCCGACCAGGAGCAGCGGTGGTATCTGGACTCTGATGCCAGCAACCACATGACGGGCTCCAAGGAATCCTTCTCCGAGCTCGACGGCGATGTTACCGGTATGGTGAAGTTTGATGACGGCTCAAGGGTGGCTATCCAAGGGCGCGGCACCATCATCTTTAGATGCCAGAACGGGAGCACCGCGCGCTAACAGATGTATACTACATCCCGCAGCTGCGTTCCAGCATCATCAGCATTGGTCTGCTAGATGAGCGCGGTAGCGAAGTACTGATCAAGGACGGCGTCCTTAGGATTAGGGACCGGGAGCAGTGACTTCTTGCCAAGGTGCAGAGGTCCCTGAACCGGTTGTACCTGCTCGACCTGAAGGTAGAGCAGCCGGTGTGCCTGGCGGCAAGACACTCTGAGGAACCGTGGATGTGGCATGTCCGGTTCGGACATCTCAGCTTTGACACGCTTGGTCGGCTGGGAAAGATGGTCCGAGGGCTGCCCCACATCAAGCACGGAGGCGAGCTATGTGACAGCTGCCTGGCCGGGATGCAGAGGAGGCTACCTTTCCCAAAGGCGGCCAAGTATCGCGTGGAGGAAGCTCTCGAGCTCGTTCACGGCGACCTCTGTGGGCCAATCACGCCTGCTACATGCGGTGGTCGGCGGTACTTCCTCCTGCTCGTGGACGATTGCAGTCGCTACATGTGGCTGCAACTCCTAACGAGCAAGGACGAAG